GCCCTAGAGGATGCTGTATCGGTGCCCTCGGGAGGATTTTTGTTTTTACATCCTCCGGGGGGGCCGATTTTCTCCCCTCCGAGTAATGTTTGGGTTTTCCCCTCGGAGTATATTGTGCGCATATCCTCTGGAGGATTACATATCCTCCAGAGGATTTCAAATCCTCTAGAGGATTACTTTTCCTCAGAGGAATATGGGTGGGTAGCCATTTGTCTACCTGTGATGTCCGCAGCCTGCTGCCACGAACAGCACCGATTTGAATACTGAGAAACATGATTGTGTGTGTACCCAATTTACGACTTGCCTGCTGGAAGCGCAGTCGCTGCCGCCACAGCTGCTGAGGATGGGACTGGATCTCTCATCGTGCGCTTGTAGAGCTTGCCGCGATGGCTGTACTCCCAGCCTGTCCTGAAGTCCAAGACGCCGGCAAGCGCTGCCTCTCGAGAAGCAAACCGTGAACTCCGCTGTCTTTTCGCCTTGTCTCGCTTCCGCTTTGTGAAGTTGAGGAACAACCGCCACTTGCCAATGTTCTTCTCTGGATAGCACACGGGCATGGACGTCTTCTCCCACTGGTCTGTGGCTGCGGGGAAGCGGCTGGAAGCCATGCTGTTGCTCTCTGCACGGTGCTGCGCAACAGCAATGTGTGCTGCTGCTCTGTTTCTTTCTTCAAAAATCCCTAAAATAATTCCGCCGCAAAAAAAAACGTTTCAATATTTTTTTGAGCGACTCTAAAACCTATATGAATTGGGGGTGATATCTTCCGTTTTGAGAGAACGTCGACAATCAACACGTGCGTATCCGCCTTGGTTGGGCGATTCGGGGGATATGCCGAACGCGGCTCAATTCTTTCTCCTTGATAAGCTATGGCGTGACGAACGCAAGTTGGTTTCTTGGCTGGACCAGCTTGTAGCATTTTTGTGACCACGGACCGAGTCTTCGCTAGATTTAGGGATTAGCAACTGACACGAGTTTAATGTAAAGAAAAACAACAACAACAACAACAACCAACCCTATTTTTGTTTTGTTTCCCCGCGGCGTCGTATTTGCCGGGTTTCGAGACCACAGGCTCCCCTTCCTAGTGTGGACTAGAGTCTGTAGAGCTAATGTGAGAAACAACAACAACAACAACAACAACAACAACAACAACAACAACAACAACAACAACAACAACAACAACAACAAGAGTAACAACAACAACAATAACAACAACAACACGCGGAGAGAGAAGCGCCCCGCACCGACGTTCGTTTGAATGCAGCAGGCATGCTGCAATGCCGTCGGCTAAACACATGTGTATTCTCTCACCGTGTGGGACATGCCGTACTGGGTGACTGACACATGGAGTACACCTCTGTCGGACACGGCACACAGCTTTGTTTGGCACACACGAGCTGCACATCTTCGTTGGCAGATTTCACCCCTCTCCACAAAACCAATACATATGTATATAGCACACACACCGGGTACCGCGCGAGGTACAAAGTGCGCGTATGACACGGGAGGCTCAGGTGGGGACGTACGAATCGCGGGCACGACATGTCTGCGGGGGTGACGGGCCTTCCTCGGCAGACAACCTGCACCATCGTGCCCTGGCTACCGGTGGGGACGATCAGTCCGGAGGGCGCATCGACGAGCTGCACTCTGCCCAAAGCGCAGCAACGCGACAGCAGCTGCTTCGCGTTCTCTGCAGCGCGGCGCAAGTGGATTGAAAACAACGGTGAAGCTGGGCACAGGCCATCCTTGGGTGTAGAACACATTTGCCAAGCACTACAAGTGGTGTGTGTTGTTACGCGAGCTCATGTGCTGCGAAAATTGAAATTCAAACCGAAAAGTAGGCTTAGTCTAGACTATACCTAATATGCGGGCATTGCTTTCGACATAAATGACCTTCGCCCGTGCATACTTTTTTTTTGGCGCATAATATCGCGCATGTAAGGGCTATGCATGAGCGTGGTTGTGCTCGCTTCATTTTGGAGATAGGGGTGGATCAGCAGCGAGTCAGGCGCCTCCTGCGGCCCCAGCAACTTGAACAAAAACTTGAAAACCGCCTTCGCTGTGAGCAACTTTATCCTTAAACACCATCCATGGTGGAACTTGAGTAAAGGCAGCGGACCTGCGGGGGGTTTTGACGGTTTTGGGGGGTTGACTTTATTTTTTTCCGCGCCAAGAGCCAAGAGAACAGCAGAACAGCTGCAGCTGCACCACACAGACCGCAGACAACCAGACCACCCACCAAAGACGAAAGAGAGGCCGGGGAAAATACAAACAGGGGAATGGGGCAAATAGGGCGTGCTGGGAGCTGGGGAGTGGTGTAGCCATGATTGTGGCTGGTGTTCTCGTGTTGTCCGTTCGTCTGTGTGTGTTGCTTCTTGAGTGGTACACTTGTTTCGTGCGAAGGAATCAGAGCAGCACAGAGCACAGAACACAGAATCAGAATCAACAACGTTACCGCAAGTGTTTAACTGTGTCGGCAAAGACAGGGGCACGTGCGCACCTCGCGCATTGACCCTAAAAATGCTGTAAATATCGACTCCGTCGGCAAAAACAACTGTGCATAAGTTCACGCATGATAACTGGAAAACGGGCATAACTGCGCGCATAATTCGCTGCTGTAAGTAAGCACATGCTCGGCCGAAAAAGTAAGCAGAAAAAAAAAGCGCATGCATTAGGTATAAGACTAGTATTTGTCGGCGCAGAACAATACAGTAGGCACACGGCACAACCTTTGTTTTTGGTTGCACGCCTCTCTCCTTCCTTCGCTGTCTTCTCTCCACACACGCACACCTGCATCTGAGAGCACCACCAGCAGCAATCATGGGCGGGTTTAGGGATTCGATCAAGGCCAGCTGCAAGAAGATGGCTAAGCAGAAATGTGAGCGGCAGCCGCCCCTTCCTTGTTTTTCTCGATTTTTTTTGAACAAAATGAAGGCTCGTTCCTCACCCACTACCCGTGTGTGCTGACCCTCTCATCTCGTCCTCCCGACCGTCTCCACAGTTAAGGAGGCCATGGCGAGCGGCAAGGACGAGTCAGTTACGACGGGAACTTGGGTGAGTTTTAACGGTCCTCAAACGTGTTATCTTGGCTTCCACTGCTGCTCGTGTTTTGAGGAAAATCTAACTGCCACCACCTCCTCTCTTTCTTGCGTGCCCGTTTTCGCGTTGTCGTTCAACCTCTCTCTCGCTCCCTTTCTCTCTCTCTCTCTCTCCCTGCTGCAGGCGCCCGAGGATGCGGAGGCCTACGCTAAGAAGGTTGCTGAGGCCATCAAGGCCGATGTTCGGTGAGAGACGAAAAAGTATGGTGGTGCCTGTCTCTGCCCACCTTCCCTCTTTCCTTCTCGCGCCATTGTCGAGAAAGAGGAGACGAATCAAAACCTCGTTGCTAAAAAGCGTGTTCGCGAAATAGAGGCAGTTGTTCCCTGTGGGCGGGTACGCAGCGGAGCAAACAGATCGATGGGTGATGGGTTATCTGTGACTGGTGTAGCTGTACGTACGTCCTACTCGAGGTCCCCTGTCCAACAGTTCCTCCGCTTGCTCTGCGGATTTTCCGTGCGGTCCGCGCACATTCGTATGTCACTGTATATCACTGTATATACAGTCGAGGGACCCTTTTAGTGCCGGTTGAATAGTGCCAGATGCCCGGTATAGTGCCGGTAAAATCTCTGCACACAGGCGGAGCTCTCAATAGTGCCAGACCGGCACTAATTACAGCATGCCCGATATAGTGCCGGTTCGGCACTGCTGTCACCCCCAATAGTGCCGGTACTCCGCACGCGCGAAACACACACACGCACAAACTCCACACACAGAAATAGGGTACACGTGCTGCTGCAGACCCGAACAGCTCTACACAGGGGCGTACCATGCCCTGTGCGGAAGGTGAACTGTGCCAACTACAGGACACCACGCCGCAAGACCCTCATGGTCACGGCTGCCAGGGAGGATGTGGCGGGCGACTGCACGGCATTTGCGGCAGTGTGGTTGATGTAGGCAACGAGAATCACCGCATCTGCAGCGCGTGCGTCGCCAAAGCCGGCAAGCGCAAAGTGTCAGCAGCAGACAGCACTGGGAAGGCACAATCTAAACGTCCGAAGGCCACGAATGGGGGGAGTAACAAGTCTCAGCCTCGTGCGCGGC